ATGTAATAAAGGATCTGCCTTTGGCATGAACAAAAAAAGAGTGAATTTAAACAAAATTATTTTGGGACTAGCAGGCATATTATATATAGTCTTTATGGTTGTCTTTTCACACTTTAATGTCGTGACTTGATAAAATTTATTATACTGTAACGAAAACTCATAAGTCATACTTAAATGCAAGTAATATGATTATTTTCAGAGATTTTTGCTGTTTCTAACTAGAACTATTGTGCTTTTTGATAAGAAAAGATTTTAAACTCTACTATGACTGACTATCTTTGATCATTTCAAAATTAGTGGAGGGGGAGCGGCAGGGATTTGTTATGTTAAGTTAACAGAAAAAAAGAAACTTAAGGATACAATTAACACAAATGAACATAGCTGCGAGATATGATTAAGGTCTCTACAGGTAGAGATTGGATAGTTACTTTTTGTAGAAAATCTGAGTAGGGTTTTTTGGGAAGAAAAAGTCAGGTGTTTTGAAAATGATGGAAAACTTGTAGATATTTTGAATTCACGAATTTTATCTTTAAACGCTATACAGATAAATATAAAGATAAGAAGATGTGGTATGATTGCCTATGAGACAACTCTCCAGGAGAGGCTAAATGACATAAAAGATAGCAACTATAGGTCACCATTAAGACCTTCAACAATGAGCAAAACCCATACTGCATAGCAAGCTACTAAAGACCACAAAATGACAAATTTAAACAATTCAAACGAGAAAACTAACGGTCTTATGAATTACTATCCTTATGAAGACATGCAAATGATTGAAGAGATCTGTTTGAAATGGGGATTCTTTTTCTTACCACTTTCTTCACTCCTCAAAATGACTCATCAAATAGGGTATGAAACATAATAGAAGATTTACTTGCCCTGATATAACTCTATCCAGGTTGAAGTCTAACAATAAGCATTTGGATAAATCTGGTTTTCTAATAATTTAAAAAAAAAATTATCCATTCATGTAAAATTCCTTGATTGTTATCTGAACAATGTTTTATTTTGTTTGGACTTGGTAGCACAATTGTGGTACTCTTATTAATCAGTTGAAACTGGAAATGAGAATACATTCTGCACTAATTAAGTTACACTTGAAACCTATTTGTGTTAAATTAGTTATTTCAGTAAATTTGGACAGCAGTTTTATTCTGTCTCCAGGACAAATGAGGAACAATTGATATGAATTGCTTTATTCTAAAGCTGCAGTGATCAATGTTAATCTGGTTTATTGGAGCAAATAATGTAATTTACAGAGGCAGTCTGTGTATAAATGATTGAGAAAGCCACAAAAACAAGATACTCGATATCAGAAGATCTTTCGAGATCTATATAATTTTAGGCTCTGTTTATCAATTATATAAGTCCAGAAGTATCCAAGTGCTGTGTTATGATCATGCAGAAAGAATTGGAACTTTAAATATTGTTTGAGATCTGATGAATTGTACTCTTGTTAACAGAGCAGTGACCTCCGTTCATATCAATCTCATAAGAACTTGCTCATACAAATGAAATACATTTTAGTAATCAAGAATGAAGGACATGATTCAAGAAGGTATTAAATTCTCAGTAAAATAAATTTGAGCTTTCAATTGAAGATTTCCATTTATGTTTATTTTGAAGTTGAGCTTCAGCTGGCCCCTTAAAAAAAAATGTGTACTAGTTCAGTGAAAATGGACGTCATACTAAACTCCAAAACATATAAATGAACTAAAATTAAAAAACATACAAGACTTACAAAGGTCAGAGGCTCCTGAATTGGGACAGGCGCAAAAATGCGGCAGGGGTTAAACTTTTTTTGTGAGATCTCAACCCTCCCCTTATACCTCTAGCCAATGTAGAATAAACAAACACATAGCAATACGCACAGTAAAACTCAGTTTAAAAGAAGTCCGAGTCCGATTTCAGAATAGGTAACAAAAGAAACTAAGCAAAATGACAATGATACATAAGTTAACAAAGGACTACTAGCAGTTACTGACATGCCAGCTCCAGACCTCAATTAAACAGATTGTTTATGTAATACTTCAATTTCCTCGTTCAGAGAGGATCCTTAGTGCATCTACTGGAGTTTTTTATTATGCAAATTTACTCGACAGTAAAATAACTATGGTTAATTTCCCAACACTGTTTTTTATAAATCCAATTCTCCGGAAACAACATAAAAAGGTTAAAACATTTTCTGATATCATGAAAAAAATAAGTATCGTTATTAAAAATCCATGCCATGAAAACCAACATTTTTTATTAGATTAATTTGATGTTGAAAGTGAATTGAGTTGTGGTATGATTTGAATACCTGTATTGCTTATAGAATAAAATAATCAAACTAATGCATACTTCTTGTTAAGTATTAAGCTCCTTTTTATTATTTCAAGAATTGAAGAAGATAGGAGTGGCTTAGATATACTGTTGCATAATTACAAGGTTACACAATTAGTTGTCTAATTTCTGGAACATTACAAAGGTTATGCAAAATACATCTTTTAAATACTGTATAATTACAAGGGTTGGACAATAATACAGATGTTTAAATACTGTAAGCCTATATTCTGAGGCAATTTTTTTGTGTGCATTTATAATTGCAATTTTTGAACATTAGACAACTATAATGTTTTCTGGAAATACTGCATACAAATAATGCTGTCAAAATTTAAATTTTATAATTTTTTGCAAAACTTATCCTTTCGCAAATTTTTGCAATAATGAAAAAAAGTACAAATTTTTTACTGTAACTGGTTTTCTCTCATTCAGCCATTTTGATATTGAAAATGGTTATGCATTCCATCTGCATTATTTGTCCTATTCATACATTTCTTAGCTAAGTTGTTTTAATATTTATGTGCTCATTTGAGAAAAGGCTTCATATTGTGACTCACAGCTGATTTACAGTATCAAAAAGTAAAATAACAGAAATACCGAACTCCAAGGAAAATTCAAAACGGAAAGTTCTTCAGTGCACAGATATAGTGTGATCCACATCTACCAATGAATTCAACCAAAACCAGTAGTATTAGGGCTGTCTTAAACTTGAAGTGGGATGTCAAAGTGTTCTTTATTGAAGGTATCAATGCGATAGAGATGAAGAACAGCGATAAAAGGGCTGATCCTTTGCTTTTGATCTGTTTAAGGTGGGTCTCATTGAGGTCTTAAGGGTGACGTGGGATTGGCTGATTTTTTATAAGCGTGACAGGTGAAAGTCAAATTATTGTGCATGAAAAAGGGAAAAGAAGTTGGGCGGGACACGTGAAATTACAAGCGTTATTATTACAATGATATGCGGGATACAGGAATCTGACAAAACAATAAGCAGGATCAAACCCCCCCCCAATTGAGACCCCCATTAAGTGTATTTAGTCATTTTGAGTCATGAATCAATAGACCCAAATCCTTTCTTTTATGTTGTAATAAATTGATGCAGTAATGACTTTCATCTCTGGAAGTTTTAAGTTGTGTGGCTTTTTGGAATATTTGAAGAAAGATTCTGAGTAATTGAACTCTAAAATATCTTATTCTTTAACAAGAATTTTAAAAGAAAATTGTGAGGATGTGTCTCCTTTTCCATTTCCGGTTGATGGAAAATATATTTTTTTTTCTTTTGATAAATTTGATCGATACAGTTATAAGACATTTTACAGAAAGTGAGCATTGTTATCAATGATGAATTAGATTGGGTTGTCTTTGTTGTGTAAATAAATTAAAGCTGATGCCTTAATGGATTATAGTTTCTATTGAAAACCTTCTTTTTTATTAATTTGTAGAAAGAAAGATAAGGTTTTAGATTTCATTATTACAGATGAAAGGCTTCAAATCAGCATCACTTTGAGTAATGAAAACTATCAGTTTGTTTTATTGTTGCCACCTGAGGAAGTAAATGTCTCTAAAGGAGCAGAAATTATGTTTGACGTCATACTTTATGTTCTTATTTTGAAAAACATAATAAGAATGGGTCATAATTATTAGTTAACTGGTTTTATAATATTGAGTTCAAAATGAGAGAAATTAAGTCCTGCTATATATGTAAATTCAAAGAAAGTCTTTTATTTCTTTTCCATTTTTTTTTTTTTTTCTGGTATGAATTTTATCATACTAAATAACTGATAATGGAAGAGTTTCATACATTGAAAGGAGCAGGATCTGCTTTACCCTTCAGTTTTTGATGGAGTTCGTGTTGCTCAGTCTTTAGTTTTCCTTGTTGTGTTTTGTATACTTTTATTTGTTTTTTTGGTCTTTTGGTCTTTTTTTTTTGCCATGGCACTGTTATTTTTTTTTATTTGACTTATGAATTTGATTGTCCCTTTGGCATCTCTTGCCTCTCTTGATTGAATTGATTAAATATCACTTAATTGAACAGAATTCAGTGAAAGCAACTCATTTTAAAAAAAAAGAGGAAAAAAGGTTTGCAAATGCATTATTAGAAACATTATGGTATTTATGTTGTTGTTCCTTGGAAAAAACCCTGGGGGAAATAACGTGTTTCAATGTTTTAGAGCAAAATTATTGAAGTCTTCCAGCTTTGACTTTTTTGATAATTAGAATTAATTAGACCTCTGAAAGTGTACAAAGTTTAAAGTTCAGTCAACAAAAAGCCAAGTGAGCTTTTGCCATTACTTGACTTCTGTTGCCATTGTCAATAAACCTTTCAGATATTTATCTTCTCTCTGAATGTCTTTGTCAATTTTAACCAAACTTGGCAGGAATATTGATAGAAGATCATAGCATGCCAACCAAATGCAATCTTTGATACTCATCTGCCAAATTTCAAAAATATCCTTTGAAACCAATTGTCAAAATTTTTTGAAGTATGAGGGGATTTACAAAAGCAAAGCCATCATATATGCAAACTTAGTCAGAATCATCTTCTTTTGTTAAAACTTAAAATATTTTATATGTAATATTTTTTTGGAGGACATTACTTACTTTACAAATTCAATCCAGTGTCACCACTGAAATGTTTGATAACATCATTATGATAGATTCTTTTTTCTTTTCAGAATGAAAGCTGTTGTTAAAGAATTTGGAGATAAAATGAATCAGTTGGTTTATGGCTTTACTTCTTACAGATTCTTAGAACAGGTATGTTTTAGCTAAATTTCAATTTTTTTATTAAGTCTCCCAAACAAAGTTTGGGAAGACTTATTGTTTTTGCTCAGTTATTATTATTATTATTATTCTTCTTCTTCTTCTTCTTCTTCCGCCGCTTTTAAATTTAAAAATATTTTTTAAAATTTTCAAATGATTATGAATTGAAAACCGTTTGTGATAGACACAATCTTTTTAATTGAAAATGTTCTAAATGATAAAGCCCATTAAATGAAATACAGGGTTAGTCCCCAGGGGTCACCCCCACCCCCTGCCATTTAAGAAAGTTCTAATACCTTGTAAGTGGTCAAGATCCCCACCCCTAAACCATATATATTCTGGTTTGTCATGCTAAGATGGTTTGAATGATATACAGGGTTAGTCCCCAGGGGTCATCCCGACCCCCTGCCATTTTGAGAAAGTTCTAATATCTTGTAAATGGTCGAGATCCCCACCCCTAAACCATATATATTCTGGTTTGTCATGATAAAGCAAATCAAATGAAATACAGGGTTAGTCCCCAGGGGTCACCCCCACCCCCTGCCATTTAAGAAAGTTCTAATATCTTGTAAGTGGTCAAGATCCCCACCCCTAAACCATATATATTCTGGTTTGTCATGCTAAGATGGTTTGAATGATATACAGGGTTAGTCCCCAGGGGTCATCCCGACCCCCTGCCATTTGAGAAAGTTCTAATATCTTGTAAATGGCCGAGATCCCCACCCCTAAACCATATATATTCTGGTTTGTCATGATAAAGCACATCAAATGAAATACAGGGTTAGTCCCCAGGGGTCACCCCCACCCCCTGCCATTTAAGAAAGTTCTTATATCTTCTAAGTGGTCAAGACCCCCACCCCTAAACCATATATATTCTGGTTTGTCATGCTAAGATGGTTTGAATGATATACAGGGTTAGTCCCCTGGGTCATCCTGACCCCCTGCCATTTTGAGAAAGTTCTAATATCTTGTAAATGGTTGAGATCCCCACCCCTAAACCATATATATTCCTATTTGTCATGTCTCGAACATTTGAATGACGTATACGGTCAGTCCCCAGGGGTTCCCCCCACCCCCAATGTTCTAATATCTTGTAAATGGTTGAGATCCCCACCCCTAAACCATATATATTCCTGTTCGTCATGTAATGAACATTTGAATGACGTATAGGGCCAGTCCCCAGGGGTTCCTCCCCACCCCAATGTTCTAATATCTTGTAAATGGTCGAGATCCCCACCCCTAAACCATATATATTCTGGTTTGTCATGCCAAGATGATTTGAATGATATACAAGGTTAGTCCCCAGGCATCACTAATGCATATAACTTTACTGGACCAAACCAATTTTCACTAGACGTTGCCCAATGTCAGGCGACCCTGGGAATTACGAATTATGGGAGCTTCGTTTGGGAGACTTCGTAACAGCATCCTGTTACAATCATTTCTTGTTGTACATGTATTCATAATCCATAGTTTTTTCTGTATTAAACCAGGCCAGAGAGCTGTTTTGATATCAACAAGGCTGATTTATCCATATTAGGGTTGATTTTATCCCATCATTTGATAAGTATAAATATAAGTTACACAGACAATCATGGCTTGCTGTAAAAGCTGTGATTATTTTTCTTCAGACCAGTTTTAGATTGCACTATCAAATGTTACTTAACTTATCACCAAGATGTTGGAAGACTAACATGTTGGAGAACATGATTTATTTCTTTGTTGTAATTGGCTTTGAACTAGCTTTCAGTAACTGCAAGTACTCTTATATCAGTGCTTTGTGTCTATTGTTTTTATGTCAGTTGTTTCTGTGTGTCAAACCGATCTTTTGTATATATGGATAAAATATATTTTGAACCCTCTTGAATGCATGTTTTGAGATATTTAGTCTATGTAATAGAAGATTCCAAGTGTCGTATCAATTGCTGTCATTGGGGGAATCCCCCATAAATCAGGAAAATTGGCAAGTCAGAAATTTGATATTCCTTTGGCATTGCTGCAGTTTGATTAATCCTAGTTACTCACCAAGATTGTTTCCAGTATATATATTCTTGTAATATCATAATGATATGAAAGCACTAGTACAATGTTGATAGTGTTGCATTTAGATCTTTTGCATCCTGATGCTGTAACTATTATTTCAAGTAAACTTTCACTATTAGAATTTTAAAAAAGAAACTAAAAATTCCTTTTCTGATTGAATTTAGATTAACTAAACGAAATTTATTATTTCCAGTAAGAGTTACAGCGAATGATGTGTGATTATGGGCTGAGATAGCCACCATTACAACTTATTAAACCATTGTCGTGACGTCAGCCTATTCATTTACTGTAGATTCTTTTTCTAGAATCAACAACGCTTCCTAAATCTGTTGCTGAAATGGACTCACCAAATTATATTCAATTATTTCCTTTGTGTGCCTAATTTCATTAAGTTTGAATTGGCTAATTTACTGATTTCTGTTCACTAATGGAATTAATTTTAAAACTTACCTTTTATTTTTGTAATTTTTATATGCCTTCACTGGGAATCGAACCCCTCCTGGAAATCTGTTATGCGTGATTGACATCAACACATCAACGAAACCTCTGGGCTACCAATGGGTTGTAATTTATATGTCTATTATATTTATATATAAATGAACATATGATACACATTGGTACAACGGACACACAGGGCTTTTACCTTTATATATACATAATAGGCAATCATATAGTATAAGTTGGTAGCCGCGAGGTTAGCATGGTTAAGATCAATAAGTAAAAGAGTCAAGTTAAAGGTAGAGACTTGTTGGTTTAGGTTCGAATCCCTGTATTCTCTTTGTTATCCCTATTCTTTAGTATTTCCGTTTTTCTTATTTTGTATGTTATTGTAGATATTTTTGTAATAATAGCAGGTTTTCCCATTTATTTTTTTCGATTATTATTGGCTATTTCACATATTTGAAACATAAATGATTACATTCAACTTGTCCATTTTTGTTTTATAAATATAATATGATTGCATCTGTTTTACTACATAATTTTACAAATGTTTATTCACAAATCCCTCTGCAAGTAAATCGTGATGTGCCTAGAATTAGGCTTCTTGCTAAAAATTTTCGGTAACAAACTTATTATATGTTCTTAGAAATAAGTTCGAATATGTCGTATTTTGTAGATTACGGATAACTTTCAGATGCCTGATAATTTAAAGACGGACGTGTTATGTTATATATGTATTTCTCTAACCAATTAATTGTGATCTTAGATTTATTAATGCATCGTTGAACCTGATAACATGGTTATTTAAACTCACTTACAATACCTTTTATTTAAGAAAAGGCTTTAATTTGTAAAGACATCAACACAATAGTTTAAGTTATAGATACAATGGATAAGTGTTGATTCATGAAAAACAAACAATTTGCCCTCCAGGCTCATGGTTTCTTTTTCAAGAATCAACGCTTATTCATTGTATCTATAATACATAACCACTACTACAATTGATATGAATAGAAAAATTTTGAAAAATCATTAAAAAAAATTTGATGAGACATACAATATAGATATTGCACACCTCACACCTAAATTAAACTGATGATTTCATGTTTTCTTGATTTTATAAAATATCTTTATGTATATGTTCTATAAATTCTCTTCTTCGTAAGGTCTTATGTTGTATATATAAAAATAAGGACATGTGATATGATTGCAAATAAGATATCTATCAACCAAATACTGAAACACTAGGGATGTGGACAGCTACGATATGTTGGCAATCTTTTTTTACTTCATACTGTCAAATGATTTGAAAATGATATGCATTTACAAATACATGTAGATCTTATTTCTCTTTTGGGAATATGTTAGGATAATGGTTAGATAATATTTTACAAGCATATTGACTGATATTTTATAGCAATTGACATTTGAAAATGGACAGATAATGAAGAATGTGTCTCTTTAATAATTAAAATTTGATATGCAGTTGCATGATTTTGCATGTCGAGTTGTTAGAACTCAGATCTCCATCCCATTTTCTGTCACTTGAAACCAGGTATAAATGACTGTCAGCTTGGATTTCTGCTTCAATTAGCTAATTGATAATTAGTAAAAATAGGAATAAACAATCATTCCAATATCTTGCATTCATAACCATATTTACACACATTAGAGAAATTACTTGGATTTATGCTTACCTTATTTCAACAGATCCTTTTGCTCCATCTGAGTCCTTATTCAATCACTTAAACTGGATGACAGTTGAACAGAGAATAAAATATCACAAATTTGTGATAACATTTTTAAAAGTGCATCAAAAAACGATGCCCCATCATATCTTAATAGCAAGTTACGTTCTGTATCGGACAGAAATCCATACCCCTTGAGAAATGCTGTTCAAGGAAACCTCATACTCCCAAAACCAAAAATTGAATTGTTCAAAAAATCTTTTATGTATTCTGGACCATCCTTGCGGAACAATTTGCCAATGAAGTTATAAAATATTACAAATGTTGATTCTTTTATATACAAAATAACAGATCATTTATTGAAATCAACCAATTGAAAAATATTAGATATTAAATATTTTATCATGTTTATTTTTTCATAACAATTTATGCAGTTGTAATGAACATTATCATTATATGTAACCTTTTATACTAATGTATGCCATGTAAACATGTTTGTTAATGCTTTTCTATGACGAGGGCTTCAGGGAAGATTAATGATATAGCTGACTGTGTAACACTCTTAAAATAAAGTATTGTTTTTGTTGTTGTGTATGAAAGGAATATTTCTGGACTTAACATTGCTATTCGAGTGATAACTTGAGTGAGAGCTCAGTGCTTGATTATCCAAGATCAATTGTTTTCTTTTTTCTTTTTCTTTTTGCATTTTCTGTCAATTATCAAGTCATTTTAATTGATTTTTAAGTAATTACATTTTTTTCCCCCTGAATTACTGGGCAGATCTGGACCAAAATTGGCCATAATCATCCTAATGGTGTATTG